AGTGTCTGTGCTGGGCGGGGTAACAGGCATCCTGACTGGACTTCGTGAACTCAGCACCCTGCCCCTCCCTGCCTCAGGGACTTACAGCTCTGTCTATCCTTCCAGCTGCCCAGGCCTAGCCTCTCCTGCTCCTGGTCGCCCATCCAGCTGCCGGGGCACCCTGCGAGACGAGGCCTTTTCCATACCCTCCTGGGCCATGGCAGGGGCTCCTCCCACCCCTCCTTGTGCTGCCCTGGCTCCCCTCCTGCCAGGTCTAGACCCCTGCAGGTCTCGATGGGGCACACTGTCCTCTGTTCGGCACCCTCCTGTTTCCCTGGCTTGGGCTTCCAAGGGAAGGGGCAGCAGAACAGAGAAGGCCTGTCTTCTGCCCTCTGCCCTGGCTCATGGAAGGGGGGCCTCTTGTGTCCTGGAGTCTGCCCCTCTTCCACCCAGTACGGTGCCTGCCGGGGTCAGGGGGCGCAGGCAGAGGAAGCGGGTCCTCAATGGGAGCCTGGGACCTCGGAGGCAAGTGCAGGAGCCCTCTCTGGGCCTCCATCTCTTTGGCATGGACCTTGAGGGCTGCTGTGAGCTGTCCTGGGGTGAGGGCTGGCACTCCCCGAGTCTCCCCAGCATGGACAGGCTCAGCCTGCTTGCCTCCTGGAAGGGTCTGTTCACTTCCAGACCCTGGCCTTGGGTGCCATCTGTGGATGCCCCAGGGGCTCTGACTGGACCCTTCTACCGGCTCCCTGATTTCCCTCCTGGGTCCCTGTACCTGCTCCTGATTCCTGCACTGGGTCCCTAGACATCTGGCCCCTCCACAAACAAGGTTTAACGGACTCAGGGGCCTGCTGAGGTCCCACGCAAGTCTGAGGCCTTGAGGGAGGGTGAGGGGTGGAGGGTCAGAGGAGGCAGGGTTCCTTTCACTCCAGATGCCACACCCTTCGTCCTGTGCCACCCAGCTCCAGACCTGGGGTCGACCACTTATGCCAAGGAGCCTGAGACCCCAGCCCATGCCCAGCCAGTCAGAGGTGAGGAAATGGGAAGTGGGGCAGGGAGGCCTCCTGGGGACCTGGGCTGCCCCTGAGCATCAGGGAATGAGCAGATGCCAGGGTCTGGAGGGTCTCCACTTCAGTTCTGTGGCCTCAAAGCTCCAAGCTCCCACCACCTCTGCATGGCAGGTCTCTGTGAGGGGCCGGGTGCAGAGCCCTACTGAGCGGGTACCCTGGGGCTCCCACGTGAAGGAGCGCAGGGTCCCACACGTCAGACAGCTGGCCAGGCTGGAGTTCGGCTCCTCCAAGGTCAGAAATCGGGAAAATTGAGCATGCAGAGGGAAGTGACGGTGGACGGGGTACACGGGGTGCACAGGGTGGATGGGGTGGACGGGGTGCATGGGGTGCATGGGCAGTGTGTAGCCAGCACCCCACCCAGCACCTCATAGAGGAGTGAGCGACCGACTGGCTGCCCAGGTGGGGTGCTGGGGCCCCAGAACACCTTTGCTCGCATCTCTTTGGAGCAAGATTTTCACTTTGTTCCCAGTGTCTCCCAGGGTCAGTGACAGGGGATGGGGGGTGGGGAGGGGCAGCTGCATGGCGGGAGGGGGCCTGGCTGGAGGTCAGGTGGGCCCAGTGCAAGGGACCGACAGGGTTAACGTGCGGCCTCCGCTCCCACCATTATAGCTCGGTCATTAAAACTCCATCTCCTGCCTGTGTCCTGGCCCTCCCGGGCCTCCCGGGCCTTTGTCTCACTTTCTAAGGCTCTGACAGGATCAGGGAGGGTGGGGGCCCCAGGAAGAGAGGGGGGTCTGCAGCATACAAAACCCCCGGCCCCCTGGCCCCCGGCCTTGGCGCCTCCTCTGCCAGGACGCCAGCCTGGAGCCACTCCCAGGATGCCCTCCTTGGGGGCTGGCATGGGCCAGGCTGGGCGGGCATCCCCTGAGCCTAGCCCAGGACAGATCCGCCCTGGCCGCACCCCACGGCCACCCCCGAGCTGTTCCCAGGCCCTGGGAGGGTGGAGAGCCCCCCGCCCTTCTCGATTCCTCGTGCTCTGCTGCAGGCTGCTAGGAGCTGGGTGGGGGTGGGGGGCGTGTGGCCAGGCGGAGGATCCGGGCGGGGGCGGGTGCCCAGGGACAAAGCCCGCCTGTGATTAAGTCATCTGCCTGATGCACCCAGCCCAGCCAACCGCAGGTGAGAGCCTGCCCACACGCCTGGGCTACTGCCATCAGCCTGGCCGATTGGCCCTGCAGCGGGGGTCGGTCTACCCCACCATGGTCGGGGTATCTGCCTCCCTCAACCCTGCTGTGGCCTCTACTGCCCAGATGCCCACGATGTCCTCCCAGGGCCTGTCACCCTCTCACCCTTCCCAGGACGCTTTGCCTCAGTGTACCCGTCTGTTCTAGGGACCACTGGAGAAGCATCTGACCGTCCTCTCGCCTCCCCCAGGCCTGAGGCCGACACCTGCAGCCCCTCCTACCTGCTCCTACCCTGAGCTCCTGGAGCTGGAGGGCTCAGGAGAGCCAGCTGGGGTGGGTGCAGGGTCACCCTGGTTACGAGTGTGGGAAGTCCCTGTGCCCTGGCTGCCTTTCCTGACATTCCTGACGCTTCCGGGGGCCTCTGCTGGGCTGGCTCTGCCTGCCCCACCTCCTGGGAGTTTAGGGCTCCCAGGTGCCCCCCACATCACCTGGAGGGAAGATTCCAGCTTGGTGGGGACCCTGGGGGCATCAGGGTTGGGAGGCTGTCTGGGCACCTGAGGGACCCAAGAAACTCGTGCTCTCTCACAGACCCCTAACACCAGGCCCCATGGGCTCCACCAGGCATTCGTGGGCTCCGACCCCAGTCACAGAACGGCTTCCCAAACTCGGTGCCCTGGGGACTCAAGCAGAGAGGCCTCCGTGGGCAGGGTTAGCTCCTGGCCCCTCTGTCAACTCGTCCCTAAAGTGGGGGCATGACCCCCTCCAGTGGGGAAGGCTGAGGTGCAGTGGGAGGCAGTGGCGGCTGGAGGCCCAGGCCTGGCCTGAATGGGTGACTGGTGGGATTACAGCTGTCGGGCTGCGGAGATGGGGTTTCAGGATGGGGCGGAAACTTCCTGAGATTTGTTGCTAATCAGGGCCCAGGGCGGCCACAGTTTATCTTTGCCTTGGTCACACGGTCACAGTCTATCTGGCCAGCATTCTGGGAACTGGGGAAGGGTAGGACGGCGCCCTGGCGTGGGGCAGGGGCCCTGGAAACCCTGCCCAGAAGAGCCCGGCTGAGCTGTTGAGAGCCTGGGCAGGCCCTTCCTTCTCAGGGAAAGGGCAGGGGGCTCTGTAGGCCCTGGGGGCCAGCCCGACGTCAGCTCTGGGGAGCCTGACTGGCGGTTGGAGACTGGCCTGACCCCCTCAGGGTCCTGAGTCCCTCTTCTCCCCAGTGAGCTGCCCTGTGACCTGGCGGACAGATAGGCACCAATGAGACACACAGCGTGGGTGCCAGGGAGGGAGGGGCCTTCTCCCCACCCCCCGCACCCAACTCTGTGCCTACCCAGAGGGAGGGGAATGGAGTGGGGGCCCGGAAAGGACCCCACTTCCCATCCCAGGAGCCTGCTGCTCCCCCACGCTTGCTGGGGATCCTGGGCAAGCTTCTTGGTTTAAACTTGTGTTTCTCCAGTTCTATCTCAGCTTGGCTACAGGGAGGCCAAAAAGGAGACTCTCCTCACCTGCCTCCGCCTCACACCCCAGCACGTATCCTGTGGCCCAGACCCCAGCAAAGGAACGCACAGGGCTGGCCTGGGGTGGACGCTGCCAGTGGCTGCTGACCTCCCAGGCCACCTGGGCCTTCCTGGCCTGCGCAGTCTCCCAGAGCTGCTTCCGCTGGCCCAGGGCCTGGGAGTGCCCCACACTCGGGCAGGGCCCTGGCAGCCGAAGGGAGGGGCTTTCAGAGCCAGTGCCCTCGGGACGTGCAGGGAAGGGGCTGTCGTACTGAGGTCACACTTAGTCTCCCTTGGTGGTTTTGGACTCAGGGCTGAGGCGGCCTGAGCTACGCAGGATGGCTGGAGCTCTGTGGTGCTCACTGTGGCTAGATGCCGCTTGGTAGTGGCGGGCATCAGCGGGGCAGATGCTGGTGCCATGAAGATGTCAGCTCACCTCCATTCACCTGCCCAGGCCTGTCCAGGCTGGGCATCCCCAGAGCCCTAGGCGAGGCTGAGGCACCCGGGGCTGTGCCGCTCCCCTCCCCGCCCTGTTCCAGCCGGGGCCTGCCTTACACTCCCTGCCTCAGGGGTGGTTTCTGGCGGGGAACACGGTGTCCTCTGAGACCCGTCAGGCCCAACAGATGAGAGCGCCGTTCCTTCCCACAGCCCATGCCCAGTGGCCCCAAGTGGGCCCTTAGCTTCCACTTCTGGCTCTCAGACCAGCGCAGCATACGGCGGGTGCCCACGAGGTCCGACTGGGCTCCCTCAAGCCTTCTGCCCTCTTGCCCTGCTGCCCGCTGTCCCCACTGGTTCTTTCCTGTCACCCTCCTGCCCCCCACATCACCCCCGATTTCATCAGAAGGCCCATCACCACCAGCTGCTGCCTGGCCTGTACTTCCTTCTCCCGGGGGCAGAGTGGGAGCTTGGTGAGAACGCAGCTGCCGTCCCCAAATGCCTGGGACAATGAACGTGGTCAGTAAATGTTTATTGATGGACGGATGGACTGACAGATGGGAGGAGTGACAGAACGGGGCAGGGACTGTGGTGCGGGACTTGGGGCTGATGGGTAGGCAGGGAGCCTGCGGGGAGGGGCGCTCGGTCTGCCTGGGAGGGTGGGGGCATCAGTGGTGGGTGGGAGGAGTGCCGAGGTGACGAGGTGACGAGGCGGTGGCCGGAGGCCTGGAGGAGTCCAGAGGTCTGTGGGTGGCCGCTTAGTGTCCTGAGGGCGGAATGCCTACGCTCCAGGCAGGAGAAGGGGGGGGTTGGGGTCAGGGTGGGGATGAGGTGGGAGTGGAGACAGGTGGGGTTTGGGTGGGGGTTGGGTGGGGGGATGGGGAGATTATGGGGGCATGGAAAGGGTGGACATGTGGAGGCTGGAGGGAGATGGGTGGATGGGAAGTGGGTGGGCAGGCGGGAGGCGGGGGCATGGAGCTGGAGTTGAAACGGAAGTCAGCGTCTCCCTGAATCCTGGGAGCTGGCGCCTGGAAGGTGTGTGGGGTTTTCTGAGCGCCTTCTGTAAATGAAACCCCAAGGGCAGGCGGCCGGGTGTGGGAGGGGTCCCATTGCATCATCACCTGTGCTGCTGGCATTAGTGATTTTTGGGGCCCCAGGGGTGCACCCAGGGCCAGAGCCCAGCCTCCAGGGTCCTGGCACAGGCAGCGTGCTGCCACCTCCCCCTGCCTGGAGCAGCGCTGGGGGCCGTGTCCAGTGGGACGGAGCTGGTCACCAGCCCTGGGGAGCACGGTGTGAATGAGCACCCACGCCTGCCTCCAGGGGCCCTGTGGGCACCGCCACCCCTCCTGTTGCAAAGCAGGCTGAGGCCCAAGGGTGAGGTCATGTCTGCTGTGGGTGCCCCGGGCCAGCGGCACGGAGCCCAGGGCATCGCAGGTCCTTGCCCCTGCGCACCTCCACTCGCTTGGGTCATCTTGGGGTCACCAGGCGGGCACCAAGAGGAAGGAGGATGGCGTAGAGACACCACTGGCCCACCTGCCCCGCCCTCAGGGACCCCTCCTTGGACAGCCTGGCCAGGACCTGGGGTATCCCGGTGCTCCCACACTGGCCATGGGGGCCGGGCTTTCCCCAGGGCCAAGTTTGCCTCATCCCTTCAGTCCCTGTGGGGGCTTGCAAGGAGCAAGGCCAGGGCTGGGGTCACCTCTAGGTCTTTGGCTGCAGCAAGAGGTGGGGGTTTGTGGTGCATCATCAGCCCCCAGAGCAGGGTCAGGAGAGAGAGAGAGCAGGGTCTCAGTGCCCGGTGAGCGTGGCTCCTGTCCCAGACACGCCATGCAGTTGCTAGGCCTCTGTTCTGCTGTGTGCCCGTTTTACTGTGGGGGCACTGAGGCAGGCAGCGGGGGGGTTGGGGCTGCCTGGGGTGCAGACTCCAGAGCCCTGAGCCCACTGCTCTACCCCAGGTCAGGGCCAGAGCTCCCGCTCAGGCTGGCGCAGAGGCAGGAATGGAGTCTCGGCCCCTCTCAGCCTTTGCTGCGCCACCCGTGCTGGGTCCCACGCAGGGCGGGGGCCTGTGGTTGTCCTGCCTCCACAGGACTCGTGCTCAGTCATCAGCCCCTCCTGGGGTGGGGGTGCAGCTTTGCTGGGGAAGGGAAGGGTTCCGGGCAGGCGCCAGGCCTGCCACCGCCACAGGAAGAGCCGGGAAGGCCGAGTGGGCAAATCTTATTAGCCAGCAGACTTCCGAAGGCCCCATCGCTGACCGCCCAGCGACCTTCCATCTCTCTGCCTGGCTGTGGTGGGAGCCAGGGGCTGCCATTTCTGTGCCTGTATCACAGCCCCCAGGGGCCACGTCTTCCCTGAACAGGTCGGGGAAGGCCCCCACTGGGTCCTTGCCTGGCCCAGTTTTCACTATGGCTGAGAAGGCTCTGGGGTTTCCTGGCCTGGATAGAGCTGAAGCATGGGTGGTGGGGGCCCAGTCCAGCTCTGGGGTTCCACTCAGCAGCCTGGGCCATTGTGGCCTCAGGGACGTGCCCCTGTACTTGCCTGGAGTGTGGCTAGAGCCAGCACCATGCCAAGGGCATGGCAGCTTGGCCCATCCATGGGCGTGGCATGGCCTGGGCCCCTCCCCTGCCCTTGGGGCCTGGGTGTGTGACCCAAGGTCCTGGCACCCTGGGCTGTAGCTGGCTGGCCCCTGTTTTAGGGCCTGGGCGAGGCCACCCCCGAGATGTCCCAGCCTGGAAGGGCCTCCAGGTTGGGGCACTAGCCTCTCTGTTGGCGGTACCATCCCAACAAGCCAGCTTCCCGAAGCCTCAGTTTCCCCATCTGTAGATGGAAAGCATGACCAATCACAGCCCCGGCTCAGCACTGACTGCGGTGAGTGCTGGGCGGGAGCCGCGTCCGGGGCCACTGTGGCTCGTGGGCTGTGGCCTGTGCTCCCTTCCTCCCCCAGCCCAGGCCCTGCGGGCAGCGAGGCCCTCAGCGGGGCCCCCATCTGGAAACGATTGTGCTCATGGCCCTCAAATATATAATTAAAATATATTGGGTTTTATGCTCCTTCCTCAGCTGGGGCAGAATCCAGGCCGGTTATGAAATCGGACTGTGCTGATTGGGCATGGGGGCCGCGGACTTGGAGGGCGTCCGACCCCCCCCAGGCTGCCTTCGTGGCTTCCCTGAAAGCTGGTGGCACAGAGGCGGCGGTGGGGACGAGTGCCTGGGGGCTTTGCTGTGCCCACTGCCCCGTGTCCTCCAGGGGTGTTGCTACGTGGTGGGGGGCAAGGATTGGACCCAGAGCGGCCCAGGAGGAGGCCTGTTCCCACACCTGCCCTTGCCCGGTTCCTAGGACATGCCTGACTCGTGTGGACCGCCCTGCTCTGTGCCAACGTGGCCTCTACTTCTCCGTCCTCCAGGCCCCGCCTCCCCCAGGAAGCCTCCTTGGTGGTCGCCCCGCATATGGCCCATCTGAGAACCATCTGACAGTCACCCTGGCCCCAGGGAGTGTGAGGGCCCAGGGCGGGTTTGGAGTTCAAGGGGACCCTGGAGGGCTACCTCACACCCTGGCTGGCTCCTGCCTGGCCCCTGCCCCAGCCTAAGTGCCTCTGCTGAGCCTCAGGCTTCAGTAGCTGAAGAAAACCACACCTCAGCCTTGGGAACTGGCGGCTGCTCTCCGGGCAGCCCTCTGACAGGTGTGGGGCAGGTGCTGGGTCCGGGACAGGGCCGGGCCATACGTGGAACAGCCAGCGGCAGCTATCTCTCCCATCTGTGCCCCGCCTGGCCGTCTGCTGCCTGGAGGCCTCTCAGGCTGAACACCTCCTCCAGGGAGCCCTCCACCCCTGCCTTAGCCTTGAGTGTCCATCCCTCATCCTGTCCTAAAAGCTCAGGTTCCAAGTCCTGTCCCGCTCCCTGGCCTCAGGCAGCAGCCACCTTCCCCGCCGCAGCACAGGGCTGTCTGTAGGCCTCGCCCTGTTCTGGGGCATGGAGCCCAGGAGAGCCTTGCTCAGAGCAGCTCCCTTGTGCCTGAGCCTAAGGTTTCTCCATCACAGCCCCTGTCTCCCTTCAGGTCTCAGGACCTCAAGCAGCCCCAGTGAAGACACGCGGCCCAGCTCCATGGCCCAAGGAGATGGCAGCTTCTGCTGTGAGCCTGGCTGGGTGCCGGGTGCTAGGCTCAGGGCTCCCCCAACCCTCCTCCCCAGGAACCTGGCTCTGGCTCGGGGACCTTCAGCACATGCCCCAGGATGGGCAGCTTTCCTCTCCCCAGCTGCCTGTCCCACCTCAGGACTGGTGACAGATCCTCACTGGCTGTCCCCTCCCACCTGCCGGCAGCAGTGCCTGACGTCCAGAGGACTCCAGGTGCCAGGCTGCCTCCGGGGAGGAGCACGGGGCCGGGCAGTCGTCTGCCGGGGAGGAGCAGCCTGGCTGCTAGGACACGTAACTCCCCGTGGTGTCAGGCTGGGGGCAGCATGCCTGACCTGGCAGTGGCCCCGGTGACGGCTTGGTGTGGCCACGGCTGGGCTCAGCCCAGTCTTATCTGTGGAGGTTCAGAGACCAGTGGCCACTTCCCGGGGCTCTGGTGGTGGCGGCTTCCACGATGCCTTCCCCAAGCCAGTCTGGTGCCCACACCCCGGGCCGGGGTCCCCAGCCCCCTGGCATGATCCACAGCACAGGCCCCAAAGGCCACTGTCCAAGGCCACCCCCGGGTGCCCCTCGCCCCACACCTGGGCCCCTCCCGGGCTGGAGACTCGCTGCTTCTGACTCGGGTCCCAGAGCAGGGCACCCACCTGGGTCCCAGTGCCCAAGGGCTGCCACCCACATGCTGAGCCCCTGACCCTGGAGTTTCAGGTCCCAACTGGAAAGTGGGGGGGGTGCCTGTCTAAGGCTTCCAGAGATCCCCGGGAGGGTGCCCTCCTCCACGTGGGCCCGGGAGCAGGAAGTGCTCGAAGGGGCTCCCAGGTAGGGCAGCGCTGCCTCATGGGTTTTTCCAGGGGGGGGCTCCTGGGATCTGAGGTCCTCTGAGACCCCCTCACCCCCAGCCCCCAGCAGGTAGGGACCCTGCCATGCTTCCCTGTGAAGTCTCCACAGGAGTGGGTGCAGGTCCTGTGCCTTTGCTGGAGGTAGGGCTAGGGCCTCCTGCACCCCCAGGTCACGGGTCTGTGGCTGTCACCATTGGGTGGTGGCTGACCTGGAGAGTGTCTCCTCTCACAGGTGGAGTCAGGGGCCTGGGTTTCAGGTTTGGGGCTTGGGGACTTCAGTGGCAAGACAGGCCAGGACCTGGCCATGGACGAGGGGACAGCAGGAGAGAAGGGGGTGCCGCCCCCAGCTGGGGCTCCAGAGCCCCCCACCTGGTTCTCATCTCCTCTGCCTCCTCCCCTTTGCCAAGAGGCCTCACCACCAGCACCCCAAGTCCCCACAGGCTGGTGCCCTGTGAGGCCCCGGGCACTTCCTCCAGGAAGCCCTTCTCCCACCACTGCAGCTCAGCCACACCCAGCGGCCCCCAGCCAGAGGAGGGGCACCTGGGGCCAGACAAGCCTGGGCTCGGGGCAGAGGTGCCTTCCTGCTTTCTGGGCGTGTGGGGAGGGGGTTCCCAGAAATGCCGAGGAGGCCTGGCTGGCAGCCCGAGGGGAGAGCCCCTGGTGCTTCCTGCTTGGCTAGGGGCAGGCCTCTGCAGCCTGAGCTCAGAGAAGTGGGAGAAGCCAGTCAACAACGACAAAAACCATCACCGCCCTCCCTCCTCTTCCCAGGCCTGTGTGGAGGAGGGCGCCCTCCCCGGGATCTCTAGAGGCCGGACCCCTGGCTGGTGGGCACGGCAGGCGTCCTGTGTTGCCCCTGAGCCTGTGCCTGCACCGTGCCCATCCGGCTGCCCGGCAGGACCCTGCCCGCTGTTCTGGGCTCCCGAATCAGAGCCCCTCTGGGCGGAGGGGGGTCACATTCCCCTGCTGAGTGGATTACCTGGGGCAGGGCGGAGAGGTATGTCACCTGGGGGTTGGGGTCTGCCTTGCCCTACCCTGCCCAAGAGGGTGAAATGAGCTCATGTTCCTGGCAGAGCAGCCAGCACCTGGCGCAGAGGGAAATGAGCTGTGCCGTGGGCACGCTGGGGCGGGGGAGATCCAGCCTGAATCCGCCCAGCTTGAGCTGCCCTCCGGCCAGGTGTGGCCTCCCAGGGGAACGCTGTGGACCCTCTCGACAGCTGAGAGGTGGGGCAGGTAGGGCACTGACCAGGATTCCCAGCCTCCTCTAGGAGAGGGCCCAGCCTGGCCATGCTCCCTCTCACGCTGGGGCCCAGCTCAGGAGCCCCCACCTCCAGGAAGCCCCTCGATGCTGAGGGCCCGCGTCTGTCCCCACCCACGCTGGGCTGTCCAGAGTGCTGACCACACAGATGCGGGTGAGCAGCATGGCCTTGTCCCGGGGCCCGCACCTCATTGCCAGCATTGGGGGTGACAAAGGCCCCTGAGCTCTGCAGGTGTGGACCTCAAGGAGGCCCAGCTCCTCCAGGTCACAGGTTCAGGGTGGGGAGGGGACGCTCGCCTGGGAGCAGCTCCCTGCTTGGCTGGTGCAGGCAGGAGCCTCTAGGCCTGGGTAGCCAGTGAGCCTGGCAGGGTGGTGGGGACACAGATGGGCGTCCCCAGCAGGGATGGTGCGGGTGGAGGGAGGAGCACCCAGCAGGTCCCTGCTGTCTGGATCTGCTCTCTGGTGGCTGTGGGTCAGCGCCTGTGGGCTGGCGGCGTGGCACTGGGCTGCTTGGCCATGTGTTTCTGATTCCTCGCGGCCTCCCCAGTGCGGCGTGTGTGCGAGGCATCCCCACCCTGGGCCCACTGTGTCCCGGGCTGCCTGGCCTGGTGCAGGACCACCCACCAGGCGGCCTCTGTCCATCTGGGGTGGGGGTTGTGGGTGGACCCTGGGGGTAAAGAGACCACCTTCCTGGTCCAGAAGAGCCCCAGGGTTGCTGGGCCTGGTACAGAGAGGGCATGGGGCTGCCCGTGGTCCTAGAGGGGGCGCAGAGCCAGGCCAAGCCCAACCACTGGCCTCCAAGAGTGGACACAGCTCCCATCTGCTCCCCGTGAGCTGGGCCAGTTCTGATGCAGCCCCCACACCTATGGGAAGGTAGGACCGTGCAGGCCAGCTCCACTCCGCCGAGGGCTCCTGCTGCTCTGGCTTTGAGCTTGTCAGGGGCCCTGGCGGAGACAGAGGTGGGTGAGCCCCCATCATGGGGTGGGGGCAGGGGACCCTGATGGGAGCAGCAGGACCCCTCTGAGGGGCATCTGGAACCCACCCAAGATGCTCACTCCCTCTCCTCCTCACCCTCCAGCCCCCTACGGCCTTGTCACCAGCCAGCATGTTTCACGGGAGTGGGTGTGTGTGCCTGCACCTGTGTGTTTACTGATTGCTTCATACTGCTGCTCCCCACCCTCTCCCCAGCCAGAAGATTCTCACCACAGGCCTGTTGCGGCTGTTCTGTCCCTGCCATGCCCAGGGCCTGGAACAGTCCAGGGAACAGAGACGGTGCTCAGTACACATTTGACATGTGAACGAATGAGTGTGTATGGAGAAACCTTCGAATCTCAAGGTGGTTCTACTTCTACCTTGACCGATGGAGACACTGGGCTTCAGGGTGAGCACAGGGGCATCGGGGTGAGGGTCTACCCAGGGCCAACTGTATGGCCCCTGCCCCACTCCAGCCAGGACTGCCTGGCACCAAGCGGGGCTTCTGCTATCAGGATGCTCTAGGAGGGGTGCGGCCTCAGCCACCGGGCATGCAGGGGGCAAGGGTGGGTCACTACGTGCCCTGGGCAGAAGCCCTGGGCCTTCACACTCCCCTTTGCCGCTGGGCCCTGTGGGACGCTGGCAGCTTGGCCTCCCCAGCACTGCCCTGGACCCACTCCGTCAGGCTGGGAAGGAACTCCCTCTGGGAACCTCTAGGGCTCACAGCAGCCCCGGCTCTGCCCATACCCCTGCACACCTGCAGATGCGCCCTTGGGATGGTGCCCACACGGTGGCTCTGCCAGAGCAGCCTTCCACATCCCCAGTCCCTAAGTGTGGACAGACATGGGGCCTTTGGACACCAAGTGGCCAGGCCACCACTTATCAGCAGAGGCAGCCCCTGGCCCACACAGGAACCCTTTCTTTGAGGGTCCAGAGGCTGGGGGACTGAGTGTCTCACTCACAAACAGCCCTGCTCTGCCCACTGTCCCTCGGAAGCAAACATGAGTGCATCCCCCCGCCCCCTCCTCTCTCTCTGCAGGGTGGGCTCCAGAGCTCCTGTGAGCTCAGCCAGGTGGGGCCGTCCGTGTCAGTGGGGTTTGGGGAGATGGGGGCGAATAGATATCGAGGGACACAGGGGACACAGGGCAGGGGCCCCACCACCCCCGATGCCTGCAGGGGCTCAAAGCCCTCACCTCATCCCTGCTGGCCTGGAGGGAGGGGCCTGAGTGGAAGGGGGGCGGGGACCGTGGGGCGGGGACCGTGGGGCAGGGACCGTGGGGCAGAGGCTCCTGGAGCCTGGACAGTTGTTCCTTCATTCATTTGACACACCTGCAAACCACGCAGCCTCAGCCTGGTATTTGGAACCTGGCTGGGGCAGGGGCGTTGGAGGGGCTGTTTATTGGAGTCTGGTCCATGCCTGCAGAATTGCGGAGTCGGGCCCAGTGAGTGCCGCTGGTGGTTCAGGCTGTAGAGGTGCCGTTTCCCCAGCCACCCAGTCACCAGGTGTGTTCCCAGAACCCAGCTGGGCAGGGTTGGGTGGGGAGGGAGGGGTGGGGCCTTGCCAAGGCCCCCCTGTCCTGCAGTCCCCCGATCAGGCTAGGCCAGACCCTCAGCTAGCAAGGGTGCCTGGTGTGCTGCCTCCAGCCCTGCATGGCCTGAACCCTCCCAGTCCCCAGCCCTGCCCTCCGCAAACCTCCAGGGCTCTGATGAGGGTCCAGGAAACAGAGGGGAGGCAAAGGTGCAGTGGGGGACTGGTGGGGAGGGGGCTAGTGAGGAGGGGGCGCAGTGGGGAAGGGGAAGATGGGGAGGGGCCATGCTGAGGAGGAGGCAGGTGGTACGGACAGGTAGGGAGGGGCAGTGGTGGAGAGGGCAGCGTGGGGCAGGGGTGTGGTAGGAGGGGGCACGTTGGGTGGGTCGAGGTGCGTGGTGAGGGGTGCGGTGGGGAAGGGGTGCAGGTGGGAGGGGGTGCAGTGGGTGAGGCCGTTGGGAGGGGACATGGTGGGAAGGGGTGCATGGGGAGGGGGCAGGTTGGGGTGGGGATGGGGCACGTTGTGGTGGGAGGCGTGGTGAGAGGGCAAGCGATGGGGAGGGAGCAGGTAAGGAGGGGGCCTTTGGGGAGGGGGCATGTTGGTTGGAGGGGGCGCTTGTGGGGAGGGGGCGCTGTGGGGAGGGGCGCCCGTGTGGGAGGGCAGTGGGGAGCCGCGTGTGGGGGACCTGGGTGCGGGCCCAGGTTGGCTCCTCATCGCCCCAGGGTGGGGGCCCCTCCCGGAGGCCTGTGGCCAGGCAGTAGGAATGGCCTGTCAGGAGTGCGGTCAGGCCGGGTCTGCAGAAGGGGCTCCGGTGGCCCAATGGCACCCCCTGCAGGCTACTGGGGTCCAAAGGCTCAGGCAGAAGCCCCGGGAGTTCGGGGTCCCCACAGCTCCGGGGCAGCCAGGACGTACACGTTCCACCCCTCCAACCCATGACACAGGCGGCACGCGCACCTGCCACCTGAGCACACCCCAAGGAAGGCCTGGGCTCGGGCAGAAGCCCCTCCTTGGACCTCGTCCAGCTCCAGCCCTGTGGGGACAGGGCTTTTCCCCAACGTGCTCCAGCTTCCTGGGCGGCTGCTGGCCGGATCCTGCCCCTCACAGAGCTCCCTGAGAGAGACAAGAGACGTGTGCTCGGCCCACCAGGGCAGTCCGGCGCCGGGGCTTAGTCCCCAGGCCTCGGGGGGTCCCTCCCGGAAGGTGGAGTGATGGGCTGGAGGAGGGACCTCCGGCACCCACATGGATTTGCAGGGACCCTCACTGGCGTGGACCTTGGGGGACCAAAAGGGGTCTGGGGTTCAGCCTGGGCTGGGGACAGCCCCTGAGTCCATGGGAGGGTGACCTGGGTCTGCCTGTGGGCCGGGTGAACTCTCTCCCAGGGCTCAGGTTGGCTAGGGCAGGGTGGGGGCTGCAGAGGGGTTGCCTGGCAGGGAACACCCGGGCTGTGGTCAGCTGGTCCTGGCCCGTCTCCCTTCCCCCCACCTCCTCTTCCATCCGGCCCTGTGGCTGGTGGCCCCTGGAGAGAGCATGGGGGCACGGGAGTGAGCTTGGAGGGGCAGCCCCACCGACCCTGTTGAAAAGGTCTTGACCAGCCCAGGGAGGCAGCTGCAGGTTCCACTCCTGGGTGGCCTTAGAGGAGTGGGGGTGCCCCACAGACCTGGCTTCTCCACGTGGGGCTGAGCCCTGCACTCCCCTCGGGATTCGGATATTGGCTGCAGGGGGAGCCGGGCAGTGGGTGGGCATCAGGCTGGACAGCTCCTCGGATGGTGGGTCTCATGCTGCCTGGGACCAGATGGCTTGCACCACAGACACGTGTTTCTCCGGGTTCTGGAGGCGCCAAGTCCGAAAGCAGGGTGCTGACGGGCCAGTTCCTCCAAAGTTCTCCCAGCCTGCTGCCTTTCCACAAGGACACTAATCCCAGCAGACCAGGGCCTCACCCTCACGGCTTCGTCTAACCCTCACCCCTCCCTCCAATGGGGCACATTGGGGGGTGTTTCTGAGCCCTGCCCTGAGCTGTGGGAACGGCAGAGCCCAGCGCTGCCTCCATGACTGTGCATGAGGACTCCCACGGAGGTGGCCCCTAGGACAGCTCCTGTTTCCTTGAGCCCCCGTCCTGGCGGGAGGCCCACAAGGCGACTGAGTGGATGTGCAGGGGGTCCAGGGCTGCGGAAGTCTGGGCCACGGCTGCGTGCCCAGCTCAGGTCATGTTTACCAGGCAGGCCGGTGCCAGGGCCCCCGCCCGGCCTCGCAGCCCTGAGTTAACTCAGGCTCCAGGATAAACACCCATTCAGCCACACAAGGCCCCTTTGTCCTGGGAGAGAGGCTCCCAGCCCAGGATGCTGCCTGGTGGCCGGTGTCCTCGGCGCGGCCCCAGGCCCGGCCGGGTGCCCTGACACGTCCAGCCGCCCTGCATGGCCTTCTCCGGGCAGGCTCCCGGCTTGGCTCAGAGAGGCCCCAGCGGGGGACAGGGCCCTGGGCAGCTGTTGGAGGAGCCAGGCCAGACTGGCAGGGCTGAGTGAGGAGGAGGACCTGGCAGCCGCCTTGTGTCCTGAGATCTCGTGAGAGCAGAGCTGACCCTGCAGAGAGAGGTGGGAGTCCTGCAGCCGGACATGCCTGTGGGCAGCGGGGAGGCCGAGGCGGGCTGTGCTGCCCATGGGGCAGCTGGTGAGCTCTGGAGGCTCCAGGGCCCTTCTGCTCCCCCATATTCTCAACCCCAAGCAGGAGAGGGGGCCCCACACCCTGTGCTTGGCCCGCCTCCCCCAGCCAATGACCACTGGTCTGTGGGCCTCAGTTTCTTGTCTGTGAAGTGGGTCATGGCAGGCTCTCAGAGGCCCCTCAGCCAGGGACTGTACCCTATTATTACCCAGGCTCAGGGCTGAGATGGGGGTTGCTGCCCAGGGGAGGGAGGGGTGAGATGGTCCTGGGAGGCCAGTCGGGAGGTGCTGCAGGAGCACAGGTGGGCTGAGGAGGGCAAGGAGAGTGGCCCCCAGCCCCCCCCACCCCGTTGAGGCTGGCCCAGTCCCTGCCCCAGCCATGACTGGTCACGGCCCGCTGTGGCCGTCCATCCCTGTGACAGGCTCCCTCCTCCAAATGTACTAAGAACAAACGCGCCCTCCTGCCCTTGGGGACACCCCAGTGGCCACCCCAGGCTGAAGTCCCCACCGGCTCCTCAGCCTCCCTGGCGGTTCATGCAGCTTCTTGGCACCCCAGCCCCGCCCCTTCAGGGTGTCACCCACCTGGTCCGGTCCCTGTGTGGCCCACAGCGGCAGTGACCCCTGGCGGCAGCTGGCGGTGGTGTTGCACCCACCTGAGGGCCAGTACTGGGGTGCTGCTCACCAGGGTAAGGCGCAGACTTGCAGAGCCTTGGAAGCAGGTCCTGGGACTGCAACCCCCAGGCTCAGACACTACTGGGGCCAGATGACTGCGGCCAGATCTCAGTCATCCGGGTCCCTCCCTACGTGGGGAGCCCCACTCTCCACTGATAGAAGAAAACGGTTCTTCTGGACGGCGTGATCTGCGCACAGCAGCAGTGACCCCCGGGAAAGGGTTACAGCATCAACCCTTGGTCCTGCCCAGCCCCTCAGGAGACCCTGGCCCTCTGGCTGGTGCCGGGGTCCTAGGTACCATGGTTGAACCCAGCGACCAGCATCTCTCAACTTGGTGCCCACGGCTCCTGGGATGCCCCAGCTGGGCCGAGCCTCTGCCTGTCCAGAAGGGCTCCTGGAACTGCCCTGGGTTCCAGTGCGCCTGTCCAAGTTTGAGATCCGCAGGACGGGACTGTGGGGTTAGGGTTGGGAAGGAAGCCCTGCCATGTGGAGACAGAACTTCCTCAGGGAAACCTGTTTTGCTCTGAAGCCTCCATGCCCCTGAGGATGACGGGGGCTGAGCAGCTGCACCTGCAGGGGCCTCCCTCCACACCCACACCTAGGTGAGCGCTCAATTAGCTGAGGCTGCAGGCTCGCCAGGTCGGCACCAGAATCAGAGCCACCAGCACGCACGCCTGGCTGTTCGTGGTTTTTGTTTTATATGAAAACTTCCCCATCTCTACTAAAAATACAAAAAATCCGCCAGGCGTGGTGGCGGGTGCATGTAGTCCCAGCTACTCAGGAGGCTGAAGAATGGCGTGAACCCGGGAGGTGGAGCTTGCAGTGAACTGAAATCGTGCCACTGCACTCCAGCCTCGGCTACAGAGCGAGACTCCATCTCAAACAACAACAACTCGAGTCAATTTGGACTTCGATGTGTGTACCTGAGGCCACGACCATGTAGCCAACCTGAGGTGGCTGGGGCAGACTGGGCAGACCTGAGCCTCCTCCAGCCACTGGCTGTCCCTGCCCTCAGCAGGGCAGCCTGAGCCTGGGGCAGGCAGGGACCAAGTGGCCAGCTCTGAGGGAAAGGGAGGCGCCTGCAGATGGGCTCAGCCTCAGGCCAGACCTGGGAAGCCTTTGCTTCATCAAGACCAGAGCGGCTTCAGGGTTTAAACTGAAAGGAAACTTTTATTTACTCATCTTTTCAAAGCAATCTAGTTAAAAAAAAAAAAGTTGAAGACAAGACAGAAAAAAGAACACGACACCTAAGAGAATCAGACGAGACGAGGGACGGGAGCACGGGCGGGACAGCGGCTCCCGGGAGGTCAGATCTTCTCCATCTTGGAGATGAGGTCGTCGCAGATCCTGGTCAGCTCCTCGTTCTCTTTAGTCTGGAGAAGGAAGATGAGTTGCGGGGGCTTCTCCCTGCCTGGAGGGAGCGGCAGGCCCAAGGGCCTTCTAGAAGGTGCTGCCAGCCGGCCCCGTGAGCTGGGCTTCCCGCACCCACCTTCTGCTCCACTGTCTTCTCCAGCGACTGGATCCTCATCTGCTCCTTCCTCAAGCTGGCCTGGAGGGCCAACACTTCTGCCTGGGCCTTGCTCCGGACTTGGGCGATCTCCTCGTTTGCCCTGGACGGGTAAGGGCAGGGCAGAGGCTGAGCTGGGGCCCAGGTGCTCAGACTCTCCCTCCAGGGTGGGGGCCTCCCCCAGCACTCACAGCCGCAGCTTCTCCTCCGCATGCGCCTTCAGGGCTTGGTACCTCTGGCCTTCCTGGGTGATCTTCGCCAGGTAATCCTCCACACACTTCTTCAGTGACTCTTCGTTCTAGGAAGCGGCAGGCATTAGCTGTGGGTACCATGCCATCTGCTGGAGAGTACCCAGGCTTGGTGTCTGGGGACCTGCAGACCCTCAAGGCTGTCTGGGGCATCAGTCATGAGGCAGTACCTCCTGTTTTCCTTGTGGAAAAAGCCCCTCCACACAAGTTCCCAGCTCACCCCCTCTGGAGGTTCAGGACAGCCCTGGCTCTCCACCCTCAGAGACGCCAGGCCTGAACCTGGTGCCCTCACGGCTGCGCCCCCTCCTGCCACACCTGTAGCTTCTGCTGGCACCAAGTGCTGCTGGAAAGTGGGATGCACCTGGGACCACTGACAGCCCAGCCCCTCCCCCTCTGGAGGTGGACCCTGTGCTTTGGGGACAGGCAGGGGAGGCCAGCAGGAGCCACATGGTTACCCAGACCTGCCTGCTCCCCACAGCTCTGGGGGCACCTTCCGCTCAGTGACCGAGAAGCCCCAACTGAGGGGCTCCTGGGCCCCCGAGTGGCCTCTGCTTGGGGAAGGCTCAGCCCACCTGCCCTCTTCCTGCAGTGCCCCCAGTAGCCTCACAGCCCAGCCATCTCCACTCCTCTGTTGCAGCCCTGTATCCCAGGAGCACCCACCCAGCATGCAGCCCACGATGTCCTGCGGAGGTCACACCTCCCATAAACCCACAGCCCTGTGTTTCTCTGCTGTGGAAAATTCCCAACAGCGTCTGTCTGGGAGGTGGCAGCCGAAAGCTCTCACGTCGACACAGGTCAAGCCTCCCGCCACAGCGGCGTCTCTCCCTCTGGCTCTGGGGACTGCTGTCCACACATTGGCTCCCAGCTCATCCTCTGCTTCCCTCATCTGACCTGTACCCTCTGAACTGCTAACTTTGTTAACTGTGTACCTGTTAGAAATTTCCATTTGGTTCTTTTCTAGTTTTTTTTTTTTTGAGACTGAGTCTCGCTCTGTCGCCAGCCTGGAGTGCAATGGCACGATCTCGGCTCACTGCAACCTCCACCTCCCAATTCTCCTGCCTCAGTCTCCTGAGTAGCTGGGGCTACAGGTGCCTGCCACCACGCCCAGCTAATTTTTGTATTTTCAGTATAGACAGGGTTTCACCATGTTGGCCAGGATGGTCTTGAACTCCTGACCTCGTGGTCCTCCTGCCTCGGCCTCCCAAAGTGCTGGGATTACAGGCATAAACTGGCCTAGTTTTTCCGTACTTTTTGTTTCTTAGAGACAGTCTCGTTCTGTGGCCCAGGCTGGAGTGCAGCGACGCAATCTTGGGTCACTGCAACCTCCGCCTACCAGGTGCAAGTGATGATCATGCCTCAACCTCCTGAGGAGCTGGGACTACAGGCCTGCACCACCATGCCCCGCTAATTTTTTTTTTTTTTTGAGATGGAGTCTTGCTCTGTTGCCCAGACTGGAGTGCAATGGTGCGCTATCGGCTCACTGCAATCTCTGCCTCCCAGGTTCAAACGATTCTCCTGCCTCAGCCTCCCGAGTAGCTTAGACTACAGGCGAATGCCACCATGCCTACCTAGCTAATTTTTGTATTTTTAGTATAGATGAGGTTTCACCATATTGGTCAGGCTGGTCTTGAACTCCTGACAGGTGATCCACCTGCCTTGGCCTCCCAAAGTGCTGGGAATACAGGCGTGAACCACCTTGCCCAGCCCAATTTTTGTGTTTTTAGGAGACGGGGTTTCACCATGTTGGCCAGGCTAGTCTCGAACTCCTGACCTCAAGTGATCTGCCTGTCTTGGCCTCCCAAAGGGGATTCTTTTCTAGTTTCGAGGTCTCTACTGAAGCAATACTCTTTTGAACACAGAAGGTAATTACTTTAAACTCTGCACTGGGTCCTCCGAGATGGGATTAGGTGTGCAAAGAAGCCTCCATGAGAAAGTGGGGAGGTGGCCAGTGGGAGCTGAGGCACAGGCCTACCCCGAGGAGAGGCAAGGCCAAGGCAGCTGCTCACACCACAGTCCAACCTGAGGGAAGGTCAGCAAAGCCACTGTGTCCTCAAGTCAGCAGCCTCTCCAAGCGTCTGTACTGGGCCAGATTACTGCACTCTGCTGCCGCGAGGCCCTTCCCATCTGCTCCCTGCAGATCTGGGGCATTACCTGCTGGTGCCACCTAAAACATCTGGGGCTCCCGTGGGTCCATCAACAGTTTTCTTCTTTTTTTTTTTTTTTTTAATTTTAGAGATGGGAGTCTTGGTCTATTGCCCAGGCTGGAGTGCAGTGATACAATTGTGGCTCACTGCAGCCTCCACCTCCCGAACTCAAACGATCCTCCCACCTCAGCCTCCCAAGTAGCTAGGAGCACAGGCGTATAGCACCATGCCTCACTCTAGTAACAGGTCTGATTTTCACTCATGTTTCCTGTTCCTTTCACACTCGGTTATTCTGTGCCAGACACCAATTTAAAACTCTGTGGCAGCAACTTAAAGCATGAAGACACCTTCTTCCAGAGAGTGTTCAGACTCGCTTCTCTGAGGCAGCTGGGCCCAGCCACTGACACCCACCTGACTTCAGGACTCAGATGAGCTCCCAGAGGACCCATCTGGCGTCCCCAGCCCCTTGCACCAATGGTGACAGCCCCTCTTCCAGCTGCACCCGCAGGTCCAGCTCCTCTACAGGAGACACTGAGCACCTCCGCTCCAACACTACTGCTGTGGGCAGAACCCTCTGGCGGCCTCGCAGGTACCTTCCAGGCCTGCTCCGGGCAGATGGATGGCCCAGACATCCCGCCTTCCAGCAGCACATGGGCCTTGCCCAGCACAGAAGGTGGAGGGCGCTCAGAGTCCTATGGCCAGGAGGACGCCAGGGTGACCTTGCATAGCCGTGACCACCTTTCTATGGGCCTCCTGCCTTGGATACTGCATGCCCTGGGTCCCCAACCCTTGGGACCCAAGCGCTTAGACAGCCCAGGTTTGACGCCCTTTCTGAAGTGCTCCAGGCCCCGGTGCACCAGCACTGTCTCAAACCTCACAGGTGTTTGATCACAGCCAAGTCGTCTTTCACATAACAGCAGAGCTCACTCTGCCTCCCACCACCCTCAGCTGCCTCGCAAACCAGCTGTGACTCCTGCACCCTGTCTCATTCACAGGTCATCCCACGCCCTCATGGCAAGGGGAGGCTTGGCCAAGACCAAGGTGCAAACAGCAGCTTGTAGCCCCGCTGGCTTGGACCATGAGTCCATCAACCTCCGAGGTGAGGACATCGGGGCAGCGGGAACATACCTTGCGGTAGCCCTCGATCACCTCCTTCTGTTTCTCAAAACGCTTGAAGAGGTCGGAGAAGGACTTCTCCATGGAATTCAGGTCTGTAGTAAGTTGGTCTTTTTCTTTTAGAACTTTCTGGATTTCAGCTTTGGCAAGTTCCTTCTGTTTCTGAACTTCCTCTTGAGAAAAGAAAAACAAACGTTCAGGATGAGGAGGCAACCGAGACGCTAGGTGCCAGAGACGGCCCAAGGAGTGAGGTGAGGTGCTTGAGTGCCAGGAGGAGAGGTGGGTAGTGGGTGTGAGCCTCAGCAGGGCAATGAGCCCCTCCACCCGGGGTCTTCCTAGGCCGGAAGCAAGGCCCAGAAAACAGCTGTTTCCTCCACATCAGATCCATAGGGAACTGGAGCCTGGGCCAGGGCCCAGCAACAGAGGTCCCCAAAGAGAGGCGGCGCCCAACATCCTCGAGTCCAGGGTGAGGCCTGGGAGCTGGGACAGCGAACTCCAGGCTGTGGGTCGTGCTGACGTGGTGGTCCTGGAGGGACTGCAAGGGCCAGGCAGTCACCTGCCCCCAGCTGACACTCAGCCTAAGACAGATCCCACAGTAACACCTCCAGGAGCCCAAGCTTTTGGGAGGCCGGGTGGGGCCCGGTGTTCCTGTCCTGCCAGACACCTACAGAAGCTGCTGCTAGACACAGCCGCACGGTGAGGGCAGGGTGGAGTGGAGCAGGCCATGGCGGGACAGGCTCTGCTCCCACCACAGCCCCACTGCTAGCTCAGCATCTGCACAACTTTGGGGCCTGACAAGTGCTGGTTCTGTGGGAGCCACCAGCCTCACTACCACCAATCTCCCCACAACTTGCCTCAGTGGTTCCACGGCTGGGCCCATGTTGAGGGGATTTGTGTGTTAGGAAGAGGGGCCTCAGGAGGGTGGGGCCCTAGGCAGGGTACGGGGCAGGGCCAGGGTGGGGCATAGGCAGCTCCTCCTGGAGGTGGGTGCCCTCAGCGGCCCGGGAACTCACCCATGGCCTGGTACACGACCTCTTCGAACCTGTCCATGATTTTCCTGTGGGAGGAGAGCATACAGCCATGGCCTCGGGTGGCCAGCGGTTCCAGGCCAGGTGGGGATGCGCACGGGAACAGGGATGGGGAGGACAGGGGGCGTAGCCTCCTTACCCCAGCTCTAGGTTCTTCCCGTGGAGCTCCTCACACCTGCTCCTCAGCTCCCGGTTCTCCTCCTGTGTAGCCTTTACCTGCTCGGGCCACACCCAAGTCAGCAGGCAGGTGGGCCAGACTGACCCTCCCAAGACCTCCCCACAGGATGGGGCCAGCCGACACCCGAGGTCCCTGGAGCTATGTCCCAGAGCCACAGTTCCATGTAGGGCTTCTAGTGGGACCCTGGGAAACCCGTTGAGGCCAAGGCTGCCTGCTCCACATGCACTCGACTGCCGGGGGCAGGAGGCCTGGGGCTGCGGGCTGTGATCCTGGGTGGAACCAGCAGGCACCCAACAGGTGTGTGTCCTGCACCCACCCCCGCAGCCCAGTAGCGGACACCAGAGGTCCTAAGTGTTAAATATAGTGAACCCCAAGTTTCTCTTCAAAGAATCAGTATGTTAGTATGTTCAGATCTTTTTTTTTTTTTTTGAGACAGAGTCTCGCTCTGTCGCCCAGGTTGGAGTGCAGTGGCGCGATCTCTGCTCACTATAGCAGAAGGGGCTACCTACATCAGGAGTAAGAACCCCTTCCCCTCCCTTGTTCAAGTGTGCTCTTGCCACTGTTCTATCTGCGAGGGGCATGCTTTCTGCAGAAAATAAAAACTGCCTTACTGAGAAAATTAAAGTTATATTCGAGTGCTATTTGTGGCACCAGGGAACAAGCATTTTGCATTTCTTTTTTTTTTTTTTTTTGAGACGGAGTCTCGCTCTGCCGCCCAGGCTGGAGTGCAATGGCCGGATCTCAGCTCACTGCAAGCTCCGCCTCCCGGGTTCACGCCATTCTCCTGCCTCAGCCTCCCATCATTTTGCATTTCTAACATAAGTTACATGCAGGGGCCACCTGCCCCCAGAGTCCAGGCCTGCAGAGGAGGGGGCCGGCCACGCTGTGGTCCCCAGCCCTGCTATCGGGTTCCTCGCATGGGCTCTGACACAGGGAGGGCGTTGTTGGGGAACTGAGTCAGGGCCGCATCACATCGCAGTTGGGGCCACTGCAAGCAACACTGGTATGGATGTTGGGGCTTGAACCCAGCCCTGCCAGCCGGCCTCCGGAGCCACCCTGTCCCCACCTCCCTGGGGACTGTCTGGTGGCAGTAGCTCACAGCGGTGCCTGCAGACACCCAGCCCCTTTGCGTGCCTACAGCTCTCTTATGGACAATTTAGGCCTGGAGTTAGAACAGGCTGAAGCCTGGCATGTGCAGTGAGGATGGAGGGAGACAAGGCAGGGGACCTCAGGTGTGGGGCGGGTGAAGATGGAGCTTCCTAACCTGCCAGGAGATGCGTCTGGACTTGTGGGAGGGCAGCAGGAAAGGGACAACACTTGGGTTTACATCAGCGAGTACCACACACTGCTGCAAGGCCACCAGAGGTGAGCATTGCACCCAGGCCACAGAGTCCTGGGGAAGCTGCTGGTGGGCAGCTGACTGCAGGGACACTGGGTGGAAGCCTGGACCCTCAGCAACCTGGGCAGCAGTGACAGGCCAGGGGCCGGCAGCTCTCTGCAATTCCACCCTGACCAGCAGGGGCAGGGATGGCAGGGATGGCTGGTCAGGCTGTTTGGACCCCACCCGTGCCCACTGTTGGCCAAGCCCCAGAGTGGCCTGCAGGTTCTGTGGAATAGCCACTCCCTTCGTCCTTACCGCTGCATCCAGGTCCTTCTGGCTGTACTGGAGCAGGTCCACTATAGGCCCGGTGGACAGGGGTGGGCCCCCAGGTGCGGGGACACCTGGAGGTGGGCCTGGCACCTGCAGGAGATGGGGATGAACCAGGAACCCATTTCGCCCTTGCCTCTTGCCTGTGACCTGGCGTGGGGGGGGAGGAAAGGCCCACGCAGGCCAAGAGGCTCAGACAGCGTGGCGAGGGACCTGAGACAGCACCGTGGCTCCATGCCCCCGATGGAGCCAAAGGCTTCAGATCCCCAGGAATAGAAAACATAGGCCCTTAAAACAATTCCTTCCCTCAGACCAGACAAGACAGTTCAAGAAGGACTGAAGGACTTACAGGAATGTCCAGTGCTCCCAAGAAATCGAACTCCACAAGCTTGGCTTCCCGCGGACTTCCTGAGGGAGGCTCATTTGCACCGTGCATGCTGCCACCAAGCAGAGGCAGCCTCAGTCACTCAAGTCCTCCCAGTATTGAGTAGGACACAGAGGACCATGTGGACAAGCTAACCAGGCTCTTTGCTTTTTAGTTTAAAACCACTCAAGTCAGGGTAGCGGTAGAAAACACAGACCTGCATCCAGCAGGCCTGGCCTCTCTGCTGCCCCATGCCCCCTTCCCTCACCTGCCTGTCCCACGTGGCTGCTTGTCCTTCCGGAGAGCATGGCGACACTTCGTTACCCACTGCAGGCTGAGTGCAGCCGGTGCTGCCTCATCGGGGGCTGCTCGCAGCTCAGAGGCTCACTTTTTTTTTTCCTTCTTTTGAGACAGGGTCTCACTCTGTCCCCCAGATTGGAGTGCAGTGGCATGATCTCGGCTCACCACAGCCTCTGCCTCCCAGGCTCAAGGGATTCTCCTGCCTCAGCTTCTCAAGTAGCTGGGATTACAGGTGCCCACCACCTCGCCTGGCTAATTTTTGTATTTTCAGTAGAGATGGGGTTTCACTACGTTAGCCAGGCTGGTCTCGAACTCCTGACCTCCAGCGATCCGCCCGCCAGGGCCTCCCAAAGGGCGCGATTACAGGCGTGAGCCACTGTGCCTGGCCATGTGTTGGGATTTGAAAGCTACACAGCCTCTGTCACACTACTCAGTTCTGCCCTTATAGTGTGAAAGTTGCCACAATTTGCAAAGGAACGGGCATGGCTCTGTGATGATAAAACTTTATTTACACAAACAGGCAGTGGCCAAGTCTGGCCCACAGGTGACAGTTTGCTGACCTCTGTTTCTTGCTTTTTTTTTTTGAGACGGAGTCTCGCTCTGTCGCCCAGGCTGGAGTGCAGTGGCCGGATCTCGGCTCACCGCAAGCTCCACCTCCCGGGTTTACGCCATTCTCCTGCCTCAGCCTCCCGAGTAGCTGGGACTACAGGTGCCCGCCACCTCGCCCGGCTAATTTTTTGTATTTTTTAGTAGAGACGGGGTTTCACCGTGTTAGCCAGGATGGTCTCAATCTTCTGACCTCGTGATCCGCCCGTCTCGGCCTCCCAAAGTGCTGGGATTACAGGCTTGAGCCACCGCGCCCGGCCGAGGTTTTTTTTTTTTTTGGAGATGGAGTCTTTCTCTGTCACCCAGGTTGGAGTGCAGTGGTGCAATCTCGGCTCACTGCAACCTCCGCCTCCTGGGTTCAAGCAATTATCCTGCCTCAGCCTCCCAAGTAGCAGAGACTACAGGTGCATGCTGCCATGCCTGGCTAATTTTTGTATTTTAGTAGAGACGGGGTTTCAACATGTTGCCCAGGCTGGTGGCAAACTCCTGAGCTGAGGCAATCCACCTCAGCCTCCCTAAGTGCTGGGATTACAGGCGTGAGCCACCACGTCTGGCCTGCTGACCTATTTTAGAGGAACTACTTTTAAAAGATTTAAGTTTAGATCTTTAATCCACCTAGAATGGTGGCTGTAACCAGCAAGGCAGCAGCCCTGTGACTGGGGGGTAGGCTGCCGTTGCTCCTGCCAGCCACACAAGACTGCTCTGGGCTTGCTGCCCTGCCCACCCTCCCAACAACTCCTTTCTAGTTCAGATCATCTCCCCCTGGTCTAGAAGCCTCTGTGCAGACACACACCTAGGAACAGCCTCCAGTCTTCCCACACTCAAGGCTTCACGCGTGGGGGAGGGCTGGCGTGCATACCTGCTGGTCTCCATGGCCACGGGCACTGGTCTACGAGGACTGTCCCTCAGCAGGGGGTCGAACTTGAGGTATAAGGACTGCTTCCTCAAGGCCGACTCCTTAAACTGGGGACAAGAGGGCAAGTGATCAGGTCTGACTGCCGTCCAAACACACACAGGGGGGCTGAGGGCCAGGGAGGTCACACACACACTCCCACCTCTGGTCACCCGCAACCCTGCCCGAGGCACCGCC